ATAAAATAAATAAAATCTTTAAAAAATCAAAAACAAAGTACTATCATGCTTTCTCATATGTTATGTAGTTAAGAGTGTTTGCAATAATGTGGGAAAATACTTACCATGTCTAGTTAGAAAAAGAAACATGATCATAAACATGAAAATTAAAACAGGAAAAGAAAAAAACTCAAACCTCTATGCTTAGAAAAAGAGATTCGAGATTTAGACACCAGTATGGTATTAGTGATGATCTTTCGGTGGTGGAATGACAATTTTTCCCTGTTATTTTGTATTTTTTAAAGTAAGCATGTATTGCTTTTCAGATGGTAAAAACGATCACTTACTCCTCTTTAAAGTTCTCATGTGCTTCTTGCCCCCAGGTCTGAAAACTGTGAAGGTTCATTTATACACAGATATTATTTTTTTTTTAAGATTTTTTAATTTTTGAGTAATTCTCTACACCCACTGTGGGGCTCGAACTCACAACCTTGAGATCAAGAGTCGCATGCTCCATCGACTGAGCCAGCCAGGTGCCCCTAACACATGGATATTTTTTGATAAATACAATACAGTTCTGTAAATGCATTTTCCTTACGATTTTGTTAATAACATTTTCTTTTCTCTAGCTTGCTTTGTTCTAGGAATATAGTATGTAATATATATAAAACATACAAAATATGTGTTAATTGGTTATGTTATCGGTAAGGCTTCTGGTCAACAGTAGCTCTTAGTAGTTTAGTTTTGGAGGAGTCAAAGGTTATATGTGAATTTTCAACTGCAAGGGGTGGGGAGGTCAGTGCCCTTGACACCCATGTTTTCAACTGTACTTCCTTCCTCCTTGCTTCACTTCATACTTCATTGCAATTTGTTTTTTCCTCCTGGTCCTTATTTCTCCCATCTTTTATTTCTTAACTATTTTTCTTTCTTTCTTCTTCCTCCTGTATTGTTCTCTCCTCCCTTCCCCATCCCACAAGGCTCATGAGCAGAAGAAGGAAAAGCCCCACCTAGCCCTACGTGCCTGGTAGTCCCTTCCCTCTGTCCCCTCCCAATGGGTGTACGTGGGACGGGGGGAGTTGCCGGGGAAAGTGAGGTATTTTCTGAAAAAAGCAGTAATTTTTAACATTGTGTTTTAGTGTTTCTAATGGCTTCTAAAATTGTTGACATAAAATTCTTTGACCTAAAAATTTGAGGTGATGTGGCTAGTCACTGATTCGAGACCCCATTGGTTTCCCAGCATTCTCTGCTTTCTGCTCCTTTCTCTGCTGTTGGTGAACAACAGACATCTTTTGGCATCTGTTCCCTTGCAACCTCTTCTGTGCTCTGTTCCTGTGACTTTTTTGCTTTTCCTCTTGCCTTTCCTTCTTCCAGGCCTGCACTTCCCTTGGGAGCATGATCCTGCCTCAGACAGTCAGCAGTCCTCAGGCCAGCCTTCAGCTCCCAGGAATGCCTGGCTGGCTGGTTGGGTGGGCTCCTCCCAAGGCCACTTGCATCGTTACAACATTTTCACAGGAGTAGAAGCAGCAATATTGATGCCTCGAGGTACCCTCTGTTCTCCCAGGTCATCCCTCACCCACTGGGCTTCAAGGTCAAGAACACCTGCTAACCAGGCTAGATTAGAAGACAGAGTAGGTCAGCTAACAGGGTCTGTCTAGACTGTCCTTCCCTGAATTCTAGGCTCCTTATAAGATGCGGCTACAGATTAAGAACAATGCTAAAGTCATCTAAACCTTTATTCCCTGTTAGCAATTTTTGTAGACTGGTAGTCTTAAAAATAAAAGCAGTTCCTTCTTCAAAATATGCCTGCTTTGCTCCAGTCCTTCTAATTTCCCACCCATCCTATTGCTAGAGCCTCACGCCCAGCCTCACTGACCCAGGTCTCTCCTCACCTTGCTTCCTGAAGGATGGTTTCTCTCATGCCCTTCTCGGATAAAAATGCTTTCAGGTGACCTTGATTGCTGATGTATCAAGCTCAAGTGCTAAGTTTAGTGTCCTCCCCCCACAACAAGGAAAAAGAAAATGTCACTTTTTCTTTCTGATTGTAAAAGTAGCATGTGTTCCTTGTAAACAACCAGATCAGGTCAGGCAAGATGTAAAGGCGTGGACAAGAAAGCGGCAATCCCTTGTGATTTTCCCTCCCAGAGAGAGATGCGTCATTAATCAGTGTGTTTTGTTGAGCTTTCAAAATCCCACATGGCCCACCAGGTTTGCCATGACCATTCCTCCTTGATAGCCCTGCTCAGGTCCCTTTCCTCTCTGGAGCTCCACATGCTCACTCCTACTTCTGGGGCTTTGCTTGTGGTGTTCCGTCCTCTGTAATGGCCCCCCACTTCCCCTCCATCCATTCAGTTCATCCTTCACTGTGAAAATCTTTGAGAGCACAAGTCTTGCTTGCTGCGTGGAGCCTTCCAAGCCTTACCAATATACAGAACAGGTACTCTGTGCCACACGATTCAACCCTATAACTGTCTCCTTCTGGTGTTATCCTATCTTCCTTAGATCATAGACTGTCAGGGAACTGGGATGATGATGCCCTATGCTTTTCTGGAGCCTCACGATATGGTGGGCAAACATGAAGTCTGTCTAATAAATACATATGAAAAAAATGGTTAATTGAGTAGCTCCCTTTTAATTTAGTGAAATTTCTTACTCAATTCTTTAGAGACTAAATTTAGTTTCTTATCGGTTCCAGACCTATAGGCTAGTGAAAATTTACATGGATATGCTGGAAATGCTTTTTAATCCTACACCTATTCCCAGAGTACCTATGAGGTTTGGGTGCCTGTTAAGGCAGGGATTTTCCCTAAGAGAGCTCTTTGGTTCCAGCACAAAGTGGACAAATTGCTGGGGGCATTATTTACTTCCTGCTCACTAAACTGTCCCCCCTTCTGTAATCAGTCCATCAAGCTCGCACAATCCATGGCGCCTAGAACGATGACACCTCCATGAATCAATACTCAAACTGCTGGTTTGTGCTTAAGTGCCCAGGTGATGAATGCCCTTCTGCACCTTCTTGGTGCAGAATATTTTGATTGATTTAACAAAGGTGTCAATTCAGTCAAGGGCCATGGAAGGCTCCATGGCATTGAGGAACAATGTCCCAGGACTCCAAGCAAGAGCCCACGTGAAAAAGAAACAGTGAACAGCAAGCTGGGATGGAGGTGGTTTTGCCCCCCACCCCACAGTCAATGCCTGCGTTTGGACTGAAAGATACATGTGTGGAAGTTGCAAACTGCCAACCAATGAAGGGTTGCAGATGCACACTCACCTCTCATCACATTTAATCAGAATCACGCTGTCTGTTCCAATCCCCAAAGCTGCAGCTCCCTTCTTGAGAGAAAAATGACTCTGTAAAAAAAAAAAAAAAAAAAGCATATTTGTAATTAGTTGTACATAAATTCAAGATCTATTCCCTCAGCTGGTTTTTTTCCTCCTTTAATTTCTAATCTCCCTCAACAGCGTGGACTGCTGAGAGAATATGGCATCCTTCAGTTGAGCTTTGTTTTTTTTTTAACTGTGGTAAAATCCACGTAACAGGATTTGCCACCTTAACCACTTTTAAGTGTACAGTTCGATGGCCTTAAGTACATTCACATAGCTGTGCAACCCTCACCACCATCCATCTCTGGAACTCTTTTCGTCTTGCAGAAGGGAAATTCTGTATCCATTGAGTGATAACTCTTCATTCCTCCCTCCCTCAGCCCCTGGCAGCAACCATTCTATTTTCTGTCTGTGCATTTGACGATGTTAGGTGCCTCATGTAAGTGGGACCATATAGTATTTGTTGTTTTGTGACTGGTTTATTTCACTCAGCATAGTGTCCCTGAGGCTCATCCATGTTGTAGCCTGTATCACAATTCCCTTCCTTTTTAAGGCTGAATCCTATTCACTGTAGGTATACCCTACATTTCCATTCATCCATCAATGGATACTTGCGTTGCTTCCACCTTTTGGCCATGAGGGATAGTGGTGCTAGGAAAGTGGGTGTACAAATATCTTCTCGAGCCCTGCTTTCAATTCTTTTTTGGGTGTATCCCCAGAAATGGAATTGCTGGGTCATATGGTCATTCTCTTTTTGATGACTTGCCATCCTGTTTCCCCACAGCAGCTGCACCTTTTTGTGTCCCCACCAGCAGTGCACGATGGTTCCAATTTCTCCACAACCTTGTCAATAGTGGTTATTTTCTGCTTTTTGATACTAGTCATTCAAATGGGGGTGGGGTGATACTTCATTATGATTTCCATTTGTATTTCCCTAATGATTAGTGACGTTGAGTATCTTTTTACGTGCCTATTGGCCCTTTGTACATCATCTTTAAAGAAATGTCTCTATAAGTCCTTTGCCCATTTTTGAATGGGTTGTTTTGTGGTGGTGGTTGTTGAATTCACTTGAGTTTCTGAGTGAAAATAACAAGACCCTGGGAATTGTAAATGGACCTGCCACCTCAACACACAGTAATCCAAACCAGTTTTACATATAAGGCATAAAAACAAGCCAACTGCCTCCAGGAACTATGACTGTATGGCTTCCAGGCTTATATTTTCCTACCAAGAGATGACACTCAGTCTCTGTCAAGTTTAATGAAATTGTGTGCACTCAAGTAAAAGAAGAAGTTGGCCTTCAGTCCAGCACTCTTCATCCCAGACTTGTTGGGGAGCTAGTTCTCTAGTTCTCGTGCAGGCGACAGCTCAGCCTGAGGCAGGACCAGGGAGAAAGGGTCAGTCGCTGGCTTGGGCAGGACGGTGTGCAGAGAAAAGCCACACTGACAAGCCACCGTCAGATCTTTGTTTGTGCTTTTGGTTATTGATCCCGGGTAGGATTCTGAATCTCAATGGCTGTAATCACGGGGCAATTTGGAGAGCTGAGAGAGGCTAACGTAAGCCCAGCTGTATGGCATCTGCCCAGCAGCCTCTTACTATTAACTACAGATCATTAAGCTGTCCAAAAGGAGGGCTGCTTCCTCAATTTACATCTCCAAAGGACTGCTGACTGGAATTTTAAGTTAGCGTTCCAGAGTGTACTCTCCCTGAATGCCCACTTTTGACTCATCTGAATTCTTAAACATGCAGCACAGGAACTGTTAACACATGTATTTTTAGGGCGTGTGTCTGATAAGCAAGAAGAAATCACATTTATAACAGCAGCAAATAATGTGAACCAATACATGAGGCACCGACTGGAGGAGTTTAAAAGGCCCAGTGGAGCCGAGATGTAATGAGAAGGGGCCATTAGCCTCCTTTTACAACCTCAGAAAGACAAAGTAGACCATCGTTACCAAGATACCTGGAAACTAGGAGAGAAAGCTTAACTGGGTTTGTAAAGATGCATGACGCCCCCAAACAAAACAAAAAAGTGTTCTCTCTTGCATGGTTAGCAGATTCCTGGGTGGCCCCCAGAAGAAGCCGCTCAGAGGAAAACAGCAGTCTGTTACTGCAGGGAGGGCACAGAACAGAGGAGCCAGCTGTCCACTGAGCAAGCAAAGCTACTCAAATTAGGCCCCTCAGTGAATGAGCTCGAAAGCACTGTTAAAATCAAACACACGGAGACCAGACTTGAAAATGTCCTGAGCCAGACAAAAACCAGTTTAGTCATACAAGCAAAGCTTAATTTAGCTTATTTTGCATGACAAAATAGGCTGACGACCTGGGTCACATCTAGCTTATGCCTCTGAAAATCATAACTGAAACTTAAATTCTTCCCCCAAATTGATAGGATGTAACCACTAACCAATTCTCTATCATTGAAGAAAATTCTAATATTGTTATCAAACACTGTGAAGAATAAACAGTCCCTGCCTCTGTGATCTCTAAGCTGCTTTATAACAATATCCTCTGAGTCTCATCCCACGTTTTGGTTTGAGTACTCCCGGTTTGCAAACTGTCTTTTTTTTGGTGTGTGCAAAATAAACCTTCACAGTTACTACTTCTGTGATTCCTTGGTTTTACTTCTGTTTCTGTTTTTGTTTTCCTAAACCTTTGAGAGTATTAAACTGCCACATGGTAAATTGGGGCAAAGTAAGAGATCTGGTGCACCTGGTCAATGAGAGGAAGTAGTCTTGTCTGGTCTTTAATGAGAAAGAATAGGGATGCTCAAATGAGGAGCAATTACCTAGGATAATTGATCACTGTAGCAAATGCCACACACTTAAAGAAGAACACAGGCCTAAAAAGAAAGCTTCGATATGGGGAACAAAGGTGATATGAGGCATGAAAAAAGAAGATTAGGGACCGAACACTGAGCCTGTTTACATTTTCAGGAAAAGGAGCAGGGAAATCACTAGATGTTATCCACAAATAGCAAGGGACCATGGTAAGCAAGGAGCCTGAGAGCAAAAAAAAAGACTACCTAATGAGGAAGAAACAGTGAAAATAGCTTCAATAGCACATTTCCGTGCTGGTGAGACAGCACACGGGGAATCATTTTTAATCCTTGGCACCACGTTTAATGGAACTACTTGTTGATGAACCACAGCAGGCTGGAAGGTGAGGAGCCTGGAAACCAGGCGTCTGGAGAGAGCTCAGAGGATGCTTGTTCATGAGCAGAGGGCAACAGGGACATGTGGTGTCAAGGTGAGAGAAAAAGGATCGATGGCTTCAGAAGGGTGGCTTCAGAAGGTAAATCTATGAACAAAAATTGAAGGCTACAGTGATTCAGATGTGTCCCCAAATCATCAAGGCTCTTGTAATGATCATTCATCAATAGAATGGCTGGGGGATGGGGGGCGCCTGGTGGCTCAGTCGGTTAAACCTCTGCCTTAGGCTCAGGTCGTGATCCCAAGATCCTGAGATCAAGCCCCTCACCTGCTTAGTAGGGAGCCTGCTTCTCCCTCTCCCACTCCCCCTGCTTGTGCTCTCTCTCTCTGTCAAATAAATAAATAAATAAAATCTTTTAAAAAAATGGCTGGGGAATGAGTTAATGAATATATCCCCTGTATCTCCTCCACCCTGATTTTGGAAAAATAATAGACTTGATAGAATCCAGTCCTTATTTAGAACTAAATCGTATTTCTATTTGGGTAACATGTTAAAACCCATCTGATTTTTATTTTTTACTAAACAAAAAATTCGAGGTTGATGGAAGATTAATTTCTCGATCTTTTTAAAAATATCATAAGTTATCTAGATACAGTCTACATGATTCAGCTGACATTTGAAATATGTGTAAATAACCATGGGGTTTTATAGTTATACAATAATTGTAATTAAAAAATAAGCAGGCTTTCTGGGCTTGGGTAGGATGAGATTACCCAGAGTAAGAATGTGTGAGAATGAGAGCCCATAGGCTGAGGCAAGGGCATGAGCTCCTTCATTCCATCCAGCCCTATGACTAGGGTACGCATCAGCTCCTTCCTTCTGTAATGGGGACAATAAATCTTTCTTGTCTTTAGGGATGGTGGGAGAATAAGAGGAGTGGTGGAAAGCTCTGAGACAAACCACTTCAGTCTCTTGACATGCTGCTTTCTCTTCCTGTACTGCAATTTAGATAAGCAGTTTGGAAAGCCGCATTAACTATTTCCAGCCATTGTTGGTCACATCCAGATATTTAACTGAGACTCAGGTTCAACTGCCTAGTGGACCACAGGGCTTCAGGGAAAGCCTCTGCTAAGCTGGGGACACAAAGATTATTAAACAGCCCTCAGTCCCCGGCTACCTCCCCTACCTCGTCTCCTGCCTCCCCTCCTCTTGCTCTCTCTACCTGATGGTACTGGACTTCCCGGTCTTCTGTGAGCTTGCTAAATTTGTTCTTTCCTCTCAGTCTTTGTATTTGCTATTCCACTTCTTGGAAAATCCTTCCCTCGGATATTTATATGGCTCCCTCCCTCATTTGATGTAGGTCTCTGTTACATATCACCTCCACAGAGACCTTTTATGACTATCTTGTCAAACAGAGCCCACTATTATCCCATTCTCTTGTCAGCATGTGACATTAAATATTTATTTGTTTACTATCTGTCCCCTACTAGAACCCAGGTTGCATGAGGACAAGGACTTTGGTGGTTGGTTTAGCAAATATTGATTGAATTTGACCATATGCTTGGAGAACAAGTCCAGAAAAATGTCCACTACTTATTGCCATAAATCTCTGGCCACAAATCCCAATATTGAGGTGTGGCTTTGGTAACTGGAGCCAGACAATGGTGGGCTAAAGAGACCCCAACACCTCTAATCTAAAGCCCATTCTAAAAGCAAGTCAAGAGATCTTCTTAGCACCCACCCTAAAAGGCCCAAGATGGGGTCCTTCCCAAGTAGGAAGCAGCTATAGGTCTTTCTAGCCAGATCAGCTGCTTTGGGGAAGAAGCAACTCATAACTTCAAATGAAGAAAGAAAAAGGCACACTAAGTTGGAAA